CCCTGTGCATCCCCCTTCCTCCTCCTCCGCCTCGCACCAGGGGTCCCCGGGCAAGCTGGAGATGGAAGCAGGTTGCCCTGGCGACAGCTCCCCCCCTCTCCCCGCCGCGCTTACTCCTGCATCCCTTCCGCGCATCCCCGATGCCGCCGATTCCCCCGCGCCCTCTGCGAGGTGTGGAGGAGGGAAAGGATGCAGGCAGGGACCCCCAGCTGGCTGCTGTGTCCCCCCTCCTCCCCAACACCGTCTTCGTTGACAGGAGAGGAGCATCCTATCCTGCAACACCCAAAATCTGGGGGTTGGGGAAGGCGAGGACCAGCTCAAGTCTGGCCCCCAAAACCAGTCCCACACTGAAAAATCCCACCCCAGATCAAAGCCTGTGGTGGATTTTGCGGTGTCACGAGAGAAAAAAACAGCAAGGATTGCATTTTTTAAAAAATTATTTATTTATTAAAACAACTGTTGTGTTTCGGTTTCTGGGGTTTTTTTTATTATTATTTTATTGATAAGAGGAATCAAGGGCATATTTTGTGCCAAGAAATCAGCTCAGCTCAGGGGTGGTCCAGGTCTGGGGCAGGGGAGGACCCCTTGTCTGCGAGGCCAGGGGTACTGTCGTATGGTCGCAGCCCTAAACTATCCCAGCCTGACCCGTCAAGTGATGGAGTAAAGGACCTTTTGTCCATATTACCCACTCCCCAGTCAGGGCTTTTGGGTGATGGAGGTTTTGGGAAGGTGGCTGAGTGTGTGTAGAGAGGGTCTGGCTGCAGGAGTGGGAATATAGCTAAATGTATATATTATATTACTGAGAACAGGCTCAACAGGCATGGGAAAGCAGGTGCAATTTTCCTCTTGGTGCTTAAATACGTGGCCGTGGTTAATCGTGCTGCTGGCAAAAATGTTTCAGCTGGGAGATCCAGTACTGTGGACGTGGAGAAACACAGAAAATCCTGGTCCTCCCTGTTGTGGGGGGCGGAGCCCCCCATTTCTGCCTGCTGCTCCCCATCTCTGTGGGGTGTTTTCCTGGGGTGGATGGTGGGGAAAAATACACAATGCTCCAGCCCTCCACCACGATACAAAAAGTTCCCGACATCAGTGGCACAGGGGCCCAGGAGGGGCGCGGAGCTCCAGGGGTTCCTGTTGCAGCCGGCGACAGGAAAATGTGTCATAAAACAATGAAACTGCCCGCAGATCACATCGGCACCCCCCTCCCTCCACCTCCCAGGAGGAGCAGGAAACTTTTAAATGCTCTTTTACTGTAAAGGAGGAAACTCCTTCGCGACGAGCAGGACTTTTTTGCCCTCATTGTGCTGCCGGTACTGGTCATCCCTGTGGAAAAGCTTTGGGGCGAGGAGGGTCAGGGGCGGATGGCAAACACCTCGGTGGCAGGGGGAACATGTTGTGGTGGCCACCAGAACCTCCTTGGTGGTGGACCTGAGTCAAGATGGCTTATTAGCAACCCGGGAAGCGCTACTCCAGCAGGTCTCCTGCTTGACGTGATTTCCTATGGGTTCCTGCCCTCGGTGCTTGTAAAAAAATGTGAGTTTTTCTAAGCTAAAGCACTCCCTGTGGCTGGAAAGACAACCAGGAATAATGGCTTAAGACCCTCTCCTGGAGGGTGCTCTCCATGTCTGCCTTTACCCTCCCTCCCTCCAAACCTCGTGGAACCAAGAGGTTTGAGATGAGGGACTCTTCACCAAGTTATTTTAATAGAAAAACAGTCTTCCCTCAAGCGAAGCTCTCCAGATGGTTCATTTTAAAATAAAACACACGAGTCATTCTCCCCCTCACCAAAGGCAGCGTTGAAGCGGTATTTAAATAGGTTGAAAAAACCCCTTAACCTCGACACCCACAGCCTGCAATAATGAAAACTGACTTTTCCAAGTAGAAGCTGAAGTCTTCCCTCAGCAGTTTCTTGCAAAGAGGGGACAAGCTGGCATATGGATGTGGTGTTTTGGGGGTAAACATGCCCTTTTCCAAGGGAGTCAAATGCACTCTGACAGCAACCAGCTCAGTGTTTGTAAACCCAAGGCTCATCCTTCCCTGCAAAAAAGTAAGAGGATGTTGGCTTTTTTTTTTCTGGTTGCAACAACAACAAAAATTCCACCTTGAAATACAGCCAAAAGAGTTTAAAAAAGCCAGTGAAAATGCCTTGTTCCTCTTCGATAAAATAAAAACCCAACAAAATATCATACTGACAAGAACAGACTGTATTTTTTTTTTCCCTTTTGGGCTGTACTTATTTTTAAACCCTCTCCCAAAAGGCAAAATGTAACTTTGAGACAGGTAAAACATTCCAGTTTGAAAACGTCTGGAAACATAGCCTTTAAAAAGGCACCCAACTCTTGACATGCAAAGGGGGTTTCCAGCCCACACTGGGCCGGACGGGTAAAGCTCGGACTGGGGATGTTGGTGTGGATGAGATGAATATAGATAGACCCGGAGGGAGCAAATACAAGAGCAATAACATGAGACTGTCAAGTTAGCCCTGTTCCCATACCTCGCTCTTGACGTAAACGTTCCCCGCAATGAGGAACGTATCGTTTCCCTTAGTTCTAGGTCCCCGTGGCCCACTATCTCGTTATTACCTGCTTACATCTGGTTTCTAATCTGATTAGGAGTGAGGACAAGGCGAGGGCTTTTCAGGGCTAAACCCGCCCCAGGGTTTTGCGTCCTCTCTGGACCCAGGACTTGAGGCATGAGGTCAGGATCCAGGGTTCTATTCACCTTTACTTCTGAGCTGGAAACAGGCTAATCCCTGCGATAAGAGCTGAGCTGATGCAAAAATGACACTGCCAAATGCTCCTTTTCTCCATCCTGAGCGTTTCAAGCTTGAACATAAAACCTGAACATCTTTGCTTTGCGGCCTTTATGTGCATTCCCCTCTGGTTTTAGTCGCCCAAAGCCTCTGCATCCGAAAACCCACAAGCAGTTTAGTGCACCTTTCTGATTGGAAGGGAAAACGTACCTAAAATACCCTAATGTTTAAGGGATTTCTATTAAATTTCAAAAAATCGATGTGATTGCGCCGTTAAAAAAAAAAAAATCACGAAATGGGATAGCGGTATTACCACCAGAGCAGACTAGCCAAGCACAGGAAGAAGAGAGATTTGAAATGTGTTAAATCATATTTTATGGTGGTGTGGTTTGGCTGCTTCCAGTTTTCTCATCCTGGAGAGAGGCACTCCCCCCAAAAAAAATTTTACCTGAGAGCTGAGCAGGTCCATAAGGATGCCCCAACACCTGGCTCCCTGGGGCTTTTCTGCAAACCCAGGGGAGGAAACATCCCCCGAAACCTGCTTCATTCTCCAGGTACAGAGAATAAAACTAAGCCTCGACACAGTGTTTTGGTCCATCTCTGCCCCGGGATGGGATGGGACATCATCAGGATATTATCTTCATAATAGGGAGGATGGATAACAGAGGATGTGGCTCCACTGAGGGGAAGGGGGGCCTCCCTCAGCTTTTTAGGAAAAAAGAGAGAGAGAGAGAGAAACCCTGATTTTCCTGATATTGTTTTGCACCTCTAAAGGAAATTCCAGAACTGGGAACCTTCAGGGAAACAATGAGCGAGGCTGGGGGTGAAGGCAGGCTGCCTTCATAGTTTCATGCAAACTTGTTTTTTCAGAAAAATAAACAAACAACAAAACACCCAAGCTCCACAACAAGCACAATATATTGGGATGCTCCTAGGGGTTTCACACATCTTTTTTTTTTTTTTTTTTTAACTGGGCTTTATTTT